GAGCAGGTGGAAGTTGAGGCTAAAAGCGAAGCCCTGGTGCTCTCGCCTACCAGTCAATACACTGCCCATTTCTCCGCGAACCGTGTTTTGCAGCTACCTCGTTTACTTGCCATTTTGTTCTCCCTAGCACTTACGACAATGATATTTGGGTTTTTTGTTTTCATTTTTAGGGAATCATCGCAAACGAGACCCTGGGTTACTTCATGGCTCGCATATTTCTCTTCCTCTATATGATTGGTGTGGACGTCAAAAAATTCCGCTTCCGTCAGCACATGAAGAACGAGATGGCTCACTACGCCCGTGATTGCTGGGATGCCGAATGCCGCACCAGTTACGGGTGGGTAGAATGTGTCGGTTGTGCTGATCGAAGTTGCTTCGACCTCACCCAGCACACCAAGGCTACCGGGGCTCGCCTTGTTGCTGAGAAGCCCCTCGCAGCACCGGTAATGAATCCAACCGCTTTACCAAACTTATTTGTGCTGAAGCCTGGAGTTTCTGCACTGTCTTGGACCTGCATTCGATTATCCAGTCTACTATTGTCTATAATGAACCCATTGAAGTGACGGTTACGCGCTACGCTCTTGGCAGTAGAAGTGGTATCCACTAATATACGGAACTTTCGTTCATTCTGTGAGGTGTTTGGCTTCTGAAGACAATTCCCCTTGACTATTATTATCCCATCAGTTCGCTCAGTGTAAAGGCTTAGCTGAGCACAGCTTCATCGACCAAAACACATTTAAAATCACCCAGGAACGTGTTCGAAATTGACCTCAGTGCGTAATCTTCGGCTATCCTCAATGGAAATTGCAGTCAAGGGCGATCGAGTCCCTTTTATTTGATTTTCTAAGTGGTGTTGGTAAAAGATATTGGTGCTCAAAATTATGGGCTGCGGGCATATATTGGCTGAAAAATTAAATAAAAATAAACTTAGGCGACGAACAGACATAAAGTCGAAGCAGCGATACTTATACTTTGTGTGATGGCTCCGAGGTATAATAAAATTCTTACCAATGGGCCGTTCAACCCACCGCATTCCGTATCTTATGGCTACTGCTTTTGCCTATCAATTACCTTGCTATGAGCTACTAGTTCATTTGTTCATCGTACATTTGTTCTGTCATTTTTTATAAATTCCTGTAGATTATTTGCCTAAATCGGGATTAGAGATCTGCTGGGCTGTAACTTCCGAAAGCGCCTTGACGCTAATTAACCGCACCTTTCTGTCGTGCTTTTCATACTGATGTGCCTGCATGTTACTGCCGTCCTAGTGGTATCTATTACCTAACTTAGAAGCTGTGTTTAGTCATTTTGTTTCTGTTGTTTTAATCCTTTTACAGAAAAAAGTCCGAAAGGTGCAGTGTGTCCCCAATAAAGGCAAAATCGGCAAAACATATCGTGCAGAAGCTGCGGGCATCTTGACAGCTCTATCTGAGTTGGGCCCTGAAGCAACGGCCAAGTTGAAGACCGAACTTGAAACCTCTGGGTAAGCGCTGTAGTCTGTTTTCAAGTTTTTTTTTGTTGCAATCTTTATCCAACAACCCCGATAATGTGACGCCAGGAATTACAGGATAACCTAATTTTCGGCCACAAAAGTGGAGGAATTTGTGTACCTGAAAAAGCGGTTCTGCACT